AATTAATTGTTGCTGGTAATTATGAATAAAAATTCTCTGTTTCATTGTGAAATTCTTTCCACTCTGTTGTTTGAAGTACATCTCCTAAACATTTCGCACTCTTACGAGTACGATTTTTGCTCTTAAGTGCTTTCCATGATATAACTGGCTCCAAAATGATTTATTTTGTCAAGAATACCGATGAACATGAACGATAATAATTTAGAGGTGCAATATTTCATAACGGAATCGTGTTACAAAGCTCGAAAAGATCGTCATCAGATGATTGCTTTTATTTCTATGGTGTAGGTTTGAATTTATGTTCACAAACTTTCCAACGGCAGAGTAACTGGCCTGGAACGGGTTTGTAAGCGAAAGTATACTTATTGAGGAACTCTTCTGGTCTTCTTAATTCATTTTTTACTATGACAGCTTCACACGAATCACATAATTTTACTTTTGAGAATGAGAAGACAGGTATTTGGTGTATTTCTTCTTTCACTAATATTGCAAAAGTATTCGAAACTGATATACACTACGTTATTGTAAATAATTTTTAGTTGCAATTTCCTTGAAGAGTTTTTATGTATGTTTTAAGATCTGTTTTTACTAACCTATAATCCGCACTTTGCGTTTATTCTCCTTATTTGTATTATTTTCTTCTTATTGCTAGCGTTATATTGTTGCAATCGTTCTTTTTTCTTTTTTGTATTATTTTAATTGACACCTGTTTATACCCAATTACAGTGTAAATGCACCTATTCCAGTTCATTGTATTAAAACTTAATCTACGAGTACTTATGCAGGAATACTCAGGGAACAATAAGGACATTTCTTTGTGGAGGTGATAAACGAAGGAAAAGTCAACAATTTATAGATGATCATTTGTTTTCCTTTATTTACAATGATGACATAAAGGGTACGTGTCACAGCACAGTTCATGGAGTATATAATATTAATAATCAGTAATAACAACAATAAACTGAAGGGCGGGGAGACATTGGGAATACCATCAAATTGACACACAAAGTCGTTTTAAAATGTTTCAATGTTTATGTACACAATGTCGCCAGAACAGCATCACATTTGTAATACATCGGCTTGTCACAAATGCGAAACTCTATTTAAACAACGTAGTTTTTAGTGTCTTACTGGGCTGATTTCCACTGGGGGCAGAAGGAACAATGTATTATAGCAAGGAGGCCACATATTTTACACAATATTTTAAATTCACAGTTTTATACAAACAATTTTTCATTAATACAACTACTTAGCCCTATATCAAATTCCATAAATATTTACACATTAGAATTCTTTTCTGTTGATCAGATTTTCACGCCACATTACAAGTCAGCAAACTCTCTTGCAGAAATTGCAGCAAAAATACATTTATTAGCCATAGCATCACACATCAAGGGATTTTCCGGACAATCATCAAGCCAGACAGTAAAAATGTGTTAAGATTTTGCTTAACCCAGAAAATGGGCTTCATAATAACATATGAAATATTTGATTACAGGCCTCTGGAAGATGATATTAATAATCAACGATTATTCACAGAATATTCATAAAGCAGTATGAAATTTTGTATTTTCTATAATGTGCTTCGTATAAGTACATGAAACTTAACTGTTTCCCAATTCCTTGTACAATTGTAAGTATTCAGTTGTACAGGTATATGCGAAAGTATCTGCTCTAGGCAAAAATTTATTTTGCTGAGACCGCAATGATTTGTGAAAATAATAAAACATTCATACAAGATTGATAGTCATTAAAAATTCTATGCTTGATCACAGTTGGAAAGTAACTTTATGGACTATATTGAAAATGAAAGATATGATGAAATGAGTTTCGTTTATTCATGAGAATATATCTATGAAGTATTGCACATCCTGTACCAGATACATTCACTCAACAAGAATATCATTAATAATATCTGAATGTGTGTAATACATCACTTCTATACAATGTACAGGACAGCAAAATAAATGCACACATATATTTACTACTTGTAGAAATACTGAAATTCCCATTAAAACTTTGCGAAAAATGTGATGTTTTCCATCAAGTATTTTGTATCTTCAGCATTGAAATAGTCCTCACATTCACCCTATCTGAACATATTTCTTTTCATTATCTTCAGTATAAAATGACTGATGCTGAAGAATCAAAAGTGCAAAACATCTTTATAAATACTATGTATTTACTAAGAATATTTTTAAATCATTTTGCAAAACAAAATGTTAGGACCAGATATGACAGTTACACACATCGTTGTCCTGCCACTGGCTTCTTCCATACCCGACTTTTCGTATACAGGGGTACATCGCCGCTGAACATATGTGCTTCCATTTACTCTTTCTTTATTCAGGTAAGAAAGATGGAACTCGTTGATCGTGTACAGTCAGTCAGTCTGTATCCACAACGTACTAGATTAACATGGAGCTCGACCACTTCTGACCCACTTAATAAATATCTACACTTTGCAACGATGCAAACCTGAGCTTCTTCCTCCGTACTTTAACTGGCATTTCGATTGTACATTTTATTGCACTTCGGAAATCAAGACATTCCTCAGATTGTTCATGGAAGTGAACGGACGGCATTGACTGCCGACCGTTTCGTTCGAACAGTTTAATTTCAATTCGCATTTCATTGGCGGTGTCTATAGTGCGTCGAACAACGTAGATACATGAACAACACCCTTACTTTGCAGAGAACTCGCCGATTTCTTTTGAGAGTTGTTCTCAACACGCTCCACCAAGTTTTTCCCATTAAATTTAAAAAGTCACTACCAAACTACACTTGAGAAATACTGAAAATTCCACTGTAAGCTCGAATTAGAATATTTATAGATTACGACTTTTAGAAAGACATCGACGTACGACAGCGAGGGAGGGAGGGCGAGCCGGGCGTCCTTACCACCAGGCGGGCCGGCGCGGGCGGAGCTGTGTCAAACCGAGTCCGTCGGCGCGCGGCGGCGCGTGCGCGTGCGCTGCGCGTCATCGCGCGGTTGTCGCTGTGGCGTCGCGGCGCCTCGCGAGTCGTGAACGCCTCTCAGTCCGCGAGCGTGCAGGCGCGCGGAAACAGGTCAGCGCGGTGGTCGCTGCTCGTAGTGGTTCGCGCAGCTGCCGCCGCGTCGGCCAGCGGCGCCGGCGAGAAGTGCGCTGCACGGCAGCCAGGCCCGAGTCGTTGGCGTCGGGCGGGCCGGCGCGGGCTCCTCGGTCCGTGCCGAAAGAGCGGCGCGGGCGACGCCCGAGCGCGCCGCGCCGAGCGCCGGGGGCGGCGGGGCGCCGGCGCGGCGGCGCGAGCAGCCCGGCGACCGGCCAGACGCCGACCCGGCGCAGCGCTTCCTTGCGGCCCGCGGCGCGCCGGTGGCCATATGTATGCCCGCCAGCGCGGCGCCGCGCGGCGACAGGTGGCTGGCGAAGCTGTTGAAGCCCCGGGAAGCCGGCAGCCCGCCCAGCGGCGGCGGCAGCAGCAGCGCGTGTGCGGCGGCGGCAAGGCCGGTCGCCGTTGAGCAGCAAATTCTGCTCCGCAGCGGCTCCGGCGGCGGCGGGAGGTGCGGGGGCCGCCAGGTTCTCGAACGCTTCCAGGTTGAGGGGAAGCGCCTGCGACTTCGGCGTACAGGCGCGCCAGGAGTCGCGTGCAGCGACGGTGTGGCGGCCAGGGACGCGAACGGGCGACTTGTCAGAAAGCCCCGCGCCGCCGTTCCGGACGACCGACGTGGACAAGAGCTTCCCGGTGCAAGTTGGAGGTTGGCGCTGTGCCGGTCGCGGCTGCGCTTGGACGGGAAAGCCGCGTTGCCCCCCTGCCACCGTTGCACTTGTGCATCAGCTTCCAATGCACGTTCTGAAGTGCGTCTTGACGCCGAAGTGGTTCTGGAAGATCTTGCCGCAGGCGGTGCAGCGGCGCGGGTTGTCCTGTCGATGGCACGTCCAATGGTTTGCCGATGATAGGCCTGGTGGGAGGTCGTGGAAAAGAACATGCCTGGCTCTCCTCGGAGGGCGAGTCGGGCCCGTTGGACGCGCCCGAAGAGCCCTGCGAGCGGCGGGGCTGGGCGGGCCGCCCATCATGTAGCCCAGGCCCCGGGACCGGGTGCTGGCCGACGAGCGGCGACGGCGCCTGGCCGCCTCGCGCCAGCAGAGCTCCCGAAGGGCCCGTGCGTTCAGGTTCTCGAGGTGGCGCAGCGCGTGCGAGGAGTCGAGCGACTCGTCGCTGTGGTGGCTGCCTGGAGCTGGGCGCGCCGGGGGGCGGGGGCGGCTTCTCGTCGTCCGCCTCGTCCTCCACCTCGCTCTCTCGGCGCTCGTCCCGCTTCACCTCCAGACGGCGGCTTCGGCGGGGGCGCGTCGGCCTCCGCCTTGGTGGGCGCCGCGGATGCTCGTCCAGTGAGTGGCGGGGCGGGGCGGGACTGGGGCGGGGGCGACGGCTCGGCGCCCCGTCCTGCCCCTCCTCCGCGCGGACGTCCTGTCTTCCGGCGCCTGTTCCGGCTCGTCCACGGCGTGCCTTCTCCGCAGGCGAGGAGCCGTCCTTCTCTTCTTCCGTCTCACCTCCATCTTCACCTCCCTTTCGGTCCTCTCGGCGCCTCCTCGGGCTCCTCCTGCGCCTCTTGTTTTATGGTGGCCCCTGCCACCTCACCTAACTCGTTTTTTGGATCGGTAGAATTTGAGGGAATGTCTTGGCGTGGTTTCCTCCACCGCGGGGGCGCGAACACGACGTCGTTGGACGAGTCGTCGTCAGACATGTGTTGCGCTCCATCATGGCCGGCACCGCGACCGCGTGGGGTTTTGATTTTTGCGCTTGCGCTTTGTTGGAGGGGAAGGCGCCGACTGGACGCCGTTCTCCTCCTTGAGGCTGTGCGCGTCACGACGCTCAGCGAGTCCTCGTTGCTGTCCATGTTGCTCGTCTCTCCTCGTCCCTGGTCGGACTCGGAGAGCTTGACGCGCTTGACGGCGGCGACGCCCTCGTCGTCCTTGTCGGTGAAGGTCGTGCGCCATGCCTGTCGGACGGTATCGTCGTCGTCATCCGTCCGCCCCTCCGTCCACGACGATGCCTCTTCGTCGTCGTCGTAAGCGTCGTCGTCGTTGTCGTCCAGGTGGTGGTTGTTGAGGTGAAGTGCGATGGCCGTGTCGTCCGACGACGTGGTGTGTTGGAGTTGGCGCAGTCACCGCCGCGCGTCGCAGCTCTTCGTAGCGGTGCATGCTCAGGTCGAGCGAATGCTTCGCGGCTTCGAGGCCCGGGGGCAGTGGGTGGGCCCGGCGCCTGCTGCCGAAGCTCGGGAGGGGCGTGAGCAGCGGAAGGGACTGAAGGAGAGCGGTTGAGCGCGGCGGAGAGCGACAGGCTGCCGGGGGGCGGGATGAGCAGCGGTGCGACTGCGCCGTGCGGCCGTCGTGTGGGAGAGATCTTGCGGCGCAGGTCGGCGGAGTGCAGCTTCGGTTCGGGTTGGCGCTGTGGCGTTGCGCGAGCGTCGCGAGCTGAACATCATGTTGCAACTTCCACGGTGCACTTGCTGCATCTCGCGTAGGTGCACGGCGGAGAAATGGTCTTGAGAGCTCCCTTGTCGCAAAACGTCTTGAGGCACACGTTGCATTGCACGCGCTTCTTGCAGTGGTGGGGTGATGAGTTGAGTGCCAGGTTGATGGGCAGGTCCCGGCCCCCAGCTCGCTTCATGGCGTGACGGGCTTTCGCAGGTGCGGGTGGCGGGCGGCCGGCCGGGCTTGCCGTGGTGGTGCAAGGAGGCTGTCTCGGCTCAGGTTGAGGGCGCTGAGCGAGTTTTCTCGTCGTCGTCGTCGTCCTCGGAGCCGAACTCGCTGCTCCCTCCTCGCTGCCGCCAGCGCGGACGGCGACTTGACGCGCGCCCGCGACCGAGATGAGCCCCGCAGAGTGAGACGCACCAAGACGCCGCCGACAGCGGGCCGGCGGCCGACATCATGGCGGCGGCGCCGCCGCGCGGTGTGGTGGTTGAAGGAGGGCGCGTTGGCGGTGGAGGCGGGCGCGGCGGCAGCGGGGGCAGGCACAGCGACGTGGGGCTCGTCAGGCTCAGTTCATGAGCCCCGGCGGCGACGCGTCGGGCCTTCGGACACTCGCGGCGGTGCGTCAGCTCGGGGCTGCCGCCTCGGCCGCCGGGGCGCCGCCCAGCCCGGGCGGGAAGCCGGGGCCCATCTTGCGGAAGTCGAAGGTTGCATGCTCTTGCAGGCCGGTTGAGCGGGGACACGCTCAGCGGGCTGGAGCTGATGCTGGAGGGGCGGGAGGACGTGGTGCAGGGCCCGTTGCTGACGGCCCACTTCAAGAAGTTGAGGGGGACGTTCTTCTGAAGGGAAGACATGGGCGGGGGGGGGGCGGCGAGTGGGCGGGGAGGGAAGCGTGGGAGACGGCGGCTGCTGCGGGGCGGGTGCAGGCCCAGGTTGAGGGGCGGCGGGTTGGTGGGCACGGCAGGTGGAGGAGGTGTGGGGGCGACGCGCGCGTCGGCGTCTTGAGGCGCAGAGCGTACTCCGCGCTGCGCTCTTCTCGACGTCCGGGTGGCGCCTCTCCGTTCGCCTCTCTCTCTCGTTCGTGCTCGCGCTCGCGTTCGCGCTCGCGCTCCCTCGCTCGCAGGTCGCGCTCGCGTTCGCCGCGCGTTCGCGGTGCGGCGCGGGCGGCGCGCAGCGCGGAGGCTGCTTGCCCCCGGCAGCCGGGGCACCTGGCCGAGCGGCGGCACGCGGCGGCCGTGCCGCTCGATGAAACTTCTTATGTCGGAAGTCGACCAGCTGCTGCAGGCTGGACGAGCGGCGGAGGAGGCGAGCGGCGGCCGCGGCGGCGGCGGCCACCGGCGCCGCCCCGCGTTGCCGCCGGCGCTCAGCTCCTGCTGCGCGCAGCCAGCTGCGTGCGTGATGGCGCGCGTCTCGCCGAAGCGCAGGAACTGCTGCAGCACCAGCGGCTCCTCGTCGGGGCTGAGATGTGCCAGCGGTCGCAGCACGGCCGCCGTGGCGCTCCTGAACACGATATGCCACGGTTATTCACTGTTTGGATTGGACAGAAGATCAGGAATAGTAGCATTGTAACGTAAAGGGGGAGCAGGGTGTTGGGAATGTCTTTTCAACGGTAGGTCAAATGGTGTAAAGGTACATTAATTATGCTGATGACTTACTGCAGTAACATTTGATAACCTGGTGATTAAACTTAAAACGCCTCTTTAAGTATTCCGTATTCTCTATTTATTTGACAATCTAAGATACCCTTTAGTAGATTTGTTGTGCCTCAACGCGAATGTTTGTTGTATGAACATACAATCTGAAAAATCTGAGTTCTAATTGAGAATTCTCTTGGCGACATTGTCCCAGAAATGGCGGTATCCTTTGTCCAAAAGTGTAGGTGCGGGGGGAGCTGTAGTGCGACGCGACAAGAGGAAAGAAGCTCCGCACTTAGCACGGAGTCGGTTATTAAATTTGCAGCCCCGGAAGAGGGTGGAACGTCGCCGGGGGCTTAGAATTACGCGCGCCCCACGAGCGGCGGGCGGCGCGGTTTAAAGGCCAGGCGGCCACGCTGAGAAGTTCGCGGAGGAGGACGACACTGTGCAACTATTTACGGATGGAAGACTGGGGCCCGGGCCATTACGAGCCCGTAAAGGGGTTAGACCGCGCGCGGAATCGCGCTTTTTTGCGCTAGACGCCCGCGCCCCGCGACGGCGCCAACACGGCCGTTCGCCTTCCCTGGCGGCATATAACCCGCCCCTTCCGCCCCCCCGCGGCGCGGCGACGGCGCAGCAAGCTCCCTCTCGGTCTACGTCCCAGCAGCTCGAGGACTAGTCAAAAACAGTTTCATTATTCAGCGCCGGGGGGGGAAGAGGTAAATCCTTCCCTCCTTATTCCCCGGGACTCAAGGGTTTAATCCCGAAAGAATGTGAGGGGGATATTGGCGGTTTTTTAGCGAAGGTTAAGCAGAGCGAAGATAAATACAAGAGTAAGGGGACACACGGGAGAGCAACGCGCCGGCGTAATACTGACATAGCGTAACAGGAAGAGCGGCGCCGCGAAAGTACAGGGTTGAGGCGGCGGGTGGGGCTGGCGGCGGCTGCGACGACGGCGGCGGGGGGGGGCAGGGCGGGCGGGGCCTCGGGAGGAAATTAACCTAACCTTCCGCTTTTAGATCAGCCGCGCGGCATGATGCGAGGGGAGCCTCTTACGGCTGCGGCGGGAGGGCCTCGCCGCCGCGTCGTGGGTTTTGTTGGGAGGGCGCGGGCGCCGCCGAAGCCGCCGCGTGTGACTCCCCTCAGAGGTACTTGCTCTTCCTCACGAGGACCGTTCGTCGCTTGCCACACGCTTTTCTGGGTTTCGGCGAATAGACGACTAGTAATAGAAATGTTGTATTCAAAATCTTAGCAGTATATTGACAATATTTTTGGCGATTGCATTCGAGAATCCGGTGTGGCAGCCGCGTTTTTAACAATTATTTAAAATATAACATAAAAAAACTTGAACTCCTATATTGTTTATCTCGCTGTTTGTGAAGTGGCACAACTAACTGATACTTTTTTCCTTACAATTCTAACCTGAAGAATTAAAAAAAGGAAAAACTTATTCAAAATCAATTATTTTAGGGAGAAATAAATTTACTCGTCAATTTACTATAGGACAAAAAAAAAAATTATACATGTCGGAAATTATAAAAAAAATAATTATAGAAGGGGCTTAAATAGATTGCTTAGCTATTGACTTTGTAAATTAATACAGTAACGAACTTTATCCCAGGTAAAAAAAGCAAAATGTAAACCGGACTGAAAACAAATTTAGATTCGACGTTGACCACGGTCCTTTTTTCTCCTCTGCTCGCGAACCCCGACCGACATGCGCATGCTCGCCAACTTCTCTGCCACTGCCTGAGTTAGGCGGCTGGCCGGTGGATACAGAACAAATGCCCGTCTATTGAGGCATGCGGCGACATTGGCATCTGCCTTGTCCCAAACCGCCCCGCGGAGGCGCGGGCGGGCCGGGCTGGGGGTTCAACGCGGCATCCGCGCATTTGTGAGCGGCCCCGGGCCAGCGCAGCCGCCGCTCGCCTTCCGCCTCCGGCTCCGCCAATCCGTCCCGCCCCCGCAGCACGCCCCGCATCCTCCCCTCGCGTGCAACGCTCGCGGTGCTCTCTTCTCGCCGCGGCGCATTTATTTCTTCTTTTTTCCTCGTTTCCCTCACCCTTCTTTTTTATATTACGGAAAAGCCCTCGCAACAACAGCAGCGGTCCGCATTTCCAATGACAAAACGCACCGCGGAAACCAATTAAAATCCAGCGAAAAGCAAACTTTCCGGCTCGGGGACGGTGGCTCCTCTGGAGGGATAATCAAACGAAGAGCCGGCATTTCTGGCCCCGTGGCTTCGTGGACCGAATCCCGACCCGCCGCCCGACGCCGGAAGAGAGCGCCTGGGCAGGGGCTTCCCGCAGACGGGGTGGGGGGTGCGGCTGCTGGGTGTGTGTGCCGCGGGGTGAAACGCGCGAGTTTGGCGGGGGCGGGGCTCTGGCCGCCATACTGGCGATGCGGTGGCGGCGAAACGCAAAACTCGTTCTGGAACTGTCCGCCGCCGCTGGATTCCGCCGACGGCGATGCGCCAGTAAAATCCGGGCGCCTGGGCGTGAAGGAGGATGCCAGGCTATCCACTCCGTAACAGCGGCCGGTGATCAGGGTGCGGTGGTGAACCGTGAGTTCGCGTACGCAGTTGTTAAAGCTAACTGGGTGAAACTAAGCGTTAAACGTCTTCTACATTCTTTATATCTCAGAAAATTCCACGTAAGAATTTTATACCAGCCTTATATTCGTGAAATTTCGTATGGAAACAAATATTCAACAACTGTTTCAAATATGTAATTTTAGAAATTATCATCAAATGTTTCATGAAAACAAACAGTAATATCCGAAATATATTTGAAGTTTTTATATGAGAGTGACTTTTGAGGCAAAATAAATATTTCATACAGATGGAAAATGTGTGGATTTTTCTCCGCGACTTTCTCTTTTAAAAGCAGCATGTATTTCTTAGAAGTCATCCAAAAACTCTATATATATACACTTCACGAGTAATAAGCATATTTTGATTTTACTAGGTTTCGCGTTACTGTTAAAACAGCTCAAGCAATTCCTAATATATCCAAATAAACAGTTCAAATGAAACTATTATTATGTTACAGATTGTATCTTTTGCGCCGCTACTACGTGAATTGTCGGAATTATCCGTTGCGAAATTTGATTTCAATCGAGAGGAATCTCAAGAGAGCAGCGAGAGCTCTCCTGGCCCAGACGGCCACCCTTAGGGCTCATTCGCGGAAGGCGCTTTGAGGGTCGACGAGAGGGCGGTCGCATGTGGAATGTGGCTCAGGGCACTCCTCCACTCGGCTGGTAGCGTCTTCCCGAGAACCACCACCACCACCACTCGCGCCCACAACCGAGCTGCGTGGATCAGGCCGCGCGCAACGCCCAGCAACCCGCTCGCCCAGCCGTCCACTCCCTCCTCGAGCATTTCGCGTGGAGGGCCCTGCAAACTTCCTTAACCTCCGCGTCGATTCAGCATTTCCGTTCCTGTGGCTTTTCATTAAGGAATTTGCAATAAAGATCGGATCCATTTCCTCAATGGCCATCTTGACGAGTACGAAAAAAAAGGCGGCGGTAGAAATAACCCGTCGAGTCCGTGAAACGCGCGGTCATTATCATTGGCAGCGGCGCGGCGCGCGGACCGCACAAGCCGTATCGGCAAGACGGCGTCGTGGGCGGAGAGATCGGTGTAGGGCAGCGCAAACTCGATTCATTAGCCACCATTGTGCGGCGGTCCCCGAGCAGCGGGGGCGGAAGGGGCGGGGGTGGAGGAGGGGCCGGGGAGAGACGCGAACTTGCCGAACTGCGGAGCACTACAGCCACGGCGGCGGCGGGCAGCGCACGCTCCAACTTCCAGTTGAAGAGGACTTTATGTTGAATTAACGCGATATTATTTTTTGTTCCCCATAAATGTTTTATAATGGTTTCGAGAACAGATTCAAAAGGAGTAGTTAAAGAGAAGGGAGTAATACACGCTAACTGAGATGAAAACTTCTGACAATGACAGAGAAGCCCTCCAGCGCGCGCACGCGAGCCCGTGCGCCGCCGCCGCCGCCGCCGCCTGATTGGGGACGGGGCTTTGTGCGGGGCGCGCTGAACCCCCGGGGCGACCGCCGCCGGTTGCGCGACGCCTGACGCGTGTTTCCGGCGTAATTTAATCATTTCATAAAATTTAGTAATTTCGTGACCGTTTGAATGGGCAACCAATAACCGGCCGTTAGACGTGTGTATTTAAACCGCGCGCTTCTTCCGTCCGTCCGTCCGGTTTGGGAAGCGTAACGGGTCCCGGGCGGAGAATCTGGGCCAAACGGCGCGGCGCGGGAAGGCGGGGCCGCGGGCCTGTGAGAAAGGGAGGCAGCGGCGGCCGGAGCAGGTGGCAGGTGCACTCGACACGCGACATCTCTGCCTCAGGGCCGCACGCGCCGCCTCGCCTCGCCTCGCCGCAGTCCGTGTCTTTTACTGCGCTCTGTTCCTTTCAGCCGTAACTCAGCGTTGCAGAAGTTTTGCGGACAGCGAGTGATCGCGTTTATTTTTGAATTCGCGTGTCTTACCGCAGACCCTCGGCCTACTTTTGGGGTCTGTGGAGTCGGAATGTTTTTCTATTCGCCTTTGCTGTTGTGATTTATAATGCAATTCGTTTCCAATAAACTTATCGGTTCCCAACTAACGATCTTCGTGGAGTATTGTCAACAATGTGGTGAGTATGTGTAATTTGTTTTGTAAAATAATGCCGACATTTCAACAACATACCTCTTCAGGTTTTAAATTAAGAATTGGTTTTAAGTAGCTAACCTGAAGTACGAAAACAATGCTTCCTTTTATATACTGATGGACTAGGACTAACCAACGAGGATATCTCAACGAGCATTAAATCTGACCATAATTTCAGTTCACTTTTAGAAAACATGCAACAAAAAGTCTATAACTTCCATCAGCTCTGGTCGAGGAATAGACTGCGAAGGAGCATCCCTTTGTTCCGTATGCGCTCCCTCGCGTGCTTCCTCATTCCGCGCGCAACGTACGACCGATCGCGAGGAACTAAAGCCGCTGTTTGAACTCGGCGCATCGCGAGGCGCCGGGC